GAATCGAGTACCGGCTTAATGCTTATGAGATGGCGCAAAATTACGCGAGTGCATTCATTCGTAGCGACATTCGCAGGATGCCGCGAAATAATTCGAGGTATCTCGAATATTGCGAGCTTCGCCTTCGTACTTGCCTCCGGTGATAGAATAATATGCACAAGCGTGCTGTATATTTTTTTCCTTTCTCTCTCTCTCTCTCTCTCTTTCCCTATTTGCTGATACTTTATTTTTATTGTATGTGCGACTCTCATCGTCGTATGTATGTTTTATTAAATTCAAGAATTATTTTTGGTTGTTGCAATAATTTTTGTGTTTCCGTTATTGCATAAAAAACAATTTTTCGAATTACTCGGTTTTTTGTGTTAAATGATTGCATGTGAGAGAGTATCTCCTCTCTTTTAAAAAAAAATTGTTTATCGCCACGTTGCGTTTTGGTTCTATACAGGCACTACAAGCCTTCGGCGAAATTGAAATGCGAGCTGGAATTTATAAGCACACAACGAAAATCGACATGGTACAAGTCAGAAATATGGAACATAATTTTACATTCGTCGATATGAAGTTAATTTAAGCGCGAGGATGGAATCTAATATCCTTACAGCTAATTTTTAACCAATACGCCTGTGGCGAATAAAATGGAAAAAAGATTTTATCGCGTAAAATATTCCAAATTGCATGTCCCAGTGAAATTTCGATGGAGACGAGCGCATAATGTAAATGGATGTTACAAATTAACAGAGATCTTGGAAAATTTGAATATATAACAGCATAGCTGGAGGTAAATGCTTCATCTCGACATCGAGCTCCTGTTCTTCTCTTCAGACCAAGGGGCAAAACTACTCAATGTGAATCTTTTACGAATGCGTCTCGCAAATATCCCGTAATTACTCCGGGCGGAATTTATGAACGTCTTGCGCAGAGCTTATGGAGGTAAGTAGAACGGCTCTGCCGTAACGTTGCCGTAACGTTGCCCATGAAACGTAATTTCTCGTGCAATGTTTGCGGCGTGCATATATCTTAAACGAAGTAATTATCGATATCGCGATACGCCGTTCCTGTTTTTGCTCTTATACAGGACGATTATCACGTCGAGTATCGGGCGCGGGATGGATTCGGTCTGCATGTACGTGCTCGTCCATCAACGTCTTTGGGCAAACGGTCTGCTGAGGATCTTAAGCCACCGTGCAAACACACACCGAGTGTGGACAGAATGGCCGGTTAAACCCTGGCGTGTAACCCGGAGTGCTCGCAGTCAATTGGCGAGCCTTATCAGATACTAAGGCGATAACCCAATGAAGAGATTAATCAACATATTGGATCATGAACACAAACAGCTTCTCCATAATGTACAGTGATAATATCTTGTTTGCGAAGCAGTCGCGCTTTGAATTTATGCGGAATAATTTCTATACTTTTATAATTCGATAGCATATGAAGAAATTCGAGATAAACGAGAAGAACAGTCTAACACGTACGCCTATCAATAATTTGTTGTCTCTCGCTAGTGATGTTTGCATTTTATCTGTTCTGTTGAGAAATTCTGTTTGCATTTTATCTGTTCCGTTGAGAATCGATTCTGTATGTGATAAACATTTTAGCATAAATATATATGATGACATATGATATATGATGTAACATATACAAAAATCGTAAAAGTTTTGAGGAAACTTTTTCTTCCTTTCAGTGAATTCGTTTGTTATTAAATTGACAGAATTTATATATGAGATTACATTGATATACGAGGGTAGTCTGAAAAATTTTGAGCCTAACATAGAAACAAGTATTTTTCGGTCAAATATAGTTTTATTTTTCAACATAATCTCCTTTTAAGTCGATACACTTTTCCCATCGATACTCTAACCTCTTTAA